TGAATTATGTTTTTTTTTTTTTTTTTTTTTTGTATAATTTATATGTATAGAATACATACTAGTTTGTGCAGAACTGAAATGCAAAATGATTGCTACCAGAGAAACAATCCAGAACATCATTATTTATATATACAGTTTAAAAGAATGTCAAAAGAAAATATCACATGTTTACAAAAAATTTTTTTATATGAGAAATACGCTGATGCCGATGTTCATTTAATTTATACTAAAGAGCATTAAATCTATGATGTAAATTAAGTATTTTTTCATACACAGTCGATTCTGATACTCCATCTTACGCGTTAATTGAACGTGTTTTTCAATATATCTAATGATCACAAAACGAATATTACAATTATTGATTCCAATTTTTTAAACTGTTTTCGATGGAGGACAGTACGATAAACTGTTAACAAAAATATGATGAACTAACATCAATTACGAATTATAATATTGAACACATAATTTGAATAGCAACTACAATTAAGTTATTTTAATAAAAATCTTGTTTTTGTCTATCATATGTGTAATTAACTAATATAGCCAATTCTGCCTTTTATTTACAACATTGGAGTACGATGAATAAATGGTAAATTTCCTCGTTTTGTAACGAGCGTAGGTAGTTGCTAATCTAACAAAAATTTAGAACTAGGAAATTAGGAACAGACTATTTGTATTCGATAATCGAAGAATCGTTTAATTTTTTTAAACATATTGTTAATAACTTATAAGATATATTAAATATTTATAATTATAAGTGCACAAAGAAATTAATTAATTAATAATAATTTTAAATATAATTAAAAAAATATATTTTTAATATATATAAAAATAACTTGTTCCAGAAAATTTTGTTTAGTAATGTTGGTATAATACAACTTAGCAGCAGAATGTGCGGGAAGAAATTCCGTTATTGTGTTTAAGATAAATTTATTGCAAAAAAACTGAAGGTAAAAAGAGCATGCAAGCTTTTTTAAAAACTGGTAAATTAGGTCCTGGCGAATTCAAAAAGGTTTCGAATTCACGTTCAAAAGAAGAACGTAGTGGTCCTGCACCGCCATGGGTTGAGAAATAGTAAGTATGCACTAATATAACCTAAATTTAATACTTATTATTTAAATTTAAATTTTTTCATTTTTTTTATAGCCGTCCAAAAAATGTAAAAGATGTTGTTGAACAAACAGAAGTAGTAGAGGTATTACGACAATGTTTAAAAGGAGGTGATTTTCCAAATTTATTATTTTATGGTCCACCTGGAACTGGTAAAACAAGTACTATATTAGCTGCAGCTAGACAATTATTTGGTAGTCTTTATAAAGAAAGAGTATTAGAATTAAATGCTTCTGATGAACGGGGTATTCAAGTTGTGAGAGAAAAAATTAAATCTTTTGCACAACTTACAGCAGGTGGTATAAGAGATGAGTATGTTCATTGTTATTTTAATCTGAATGATTATTATTTGAAAGCCTACGAAAGCCAATGATGTTTAAGTAAAAGGTCTGAGAATTATTATTGAGCTACATATGTAAACTATTTGAAAAATATAGTTGTTATCAGGAGTTACTATAAAGTATTTTAGTAACTTGTATTGCCAACTAGAAAGCAACATGCTTTAAGCATATTGCCGAAAGTATTTTAAAGTTTTAAACTTTTGGTCCTACATTAAAAGCAAACAAAAAAATATATTATATTATATGTATTATATGTTGTTTTATAATTTTTTATAGTTTTATATGTTGCTCTTATAATTTCTATGATAAATATATAATCTGAGGACACTTTGTATAAAATTATAAATACATCAAATAGGAATTTATCATAATAAAATAAAGTAATTTCTTTTTTTTTTTCAGTGGAAAAAGTTGCCCTCCTTTTAAAATTATTATCTTAGATGAAGCAGATAGTATGACTGGTGCAGCACAAGCTGCACTTCGTCGTACTATGGAAAAAGAATCTCATAGTACTAGATTTTGTTTGATTTGTAATTATGTATCAAGAATCATAGAACCTTTGACTTCTCGTTGTACAAAATTCAGATTTAAACCATTAGGAGAAAATAAAATTATTGAGAGATTAGAGTATATATGTAAAGAGGAAGATTTAAAAGTAGAAAAACCTGTTTTATTAAAAATTGTTGAAGTTTCGGGTGGAGATTTAAGGCGTGCCATAACATGTTTACAATCCATCACAAAATTAAAAGGCAAGGGCATTGAAATTACTGTTGATGACGTACTTGAAATCATTGGGGTAACATATAATTATTTTTCTAAATAATAAAATAAAATAATATTGTATCTTCATTATAATAATAAAATAATTATAGATTGTACCCAACAAATGGTTGGATGAATTAATAGATATATGTAAAACAAAGGATTATACCAAGGCAGAAGAATTTGTCGACCAGTTTATGTTAGAAGCATATGCTACATCCCAGGTAAAGTTTTAAAGAAATTATTACAATTATTTAATGTACATTTTAAGTATTGTTGCAGGTTATTGAGCAACTTAGTGAAAGAATTATATATTCTAATGAATTAACAGATAAACAAAAAGCTTTAATTGCAGATACACTTGGGGTAAGAATAAATAAAATTATTATAAAATAAATGTAATATATACATGTTTCTTATTTATTATTTTTTTTATTTGCAGGAATGTAATTATAGATTGTTAGATGGTGGAAATGAATATATACAACTTATGAATATTTGTTGCGGTATTATAAAAGCTTATGAATTAGTATAATATTATGTTTTTTCAAATTTTTATTTTATATCAATAAATATTTATTTTTTTTTTTTTACGTATTCCGTTGCATTTCACTTTTTTAAAATAATAAACTGAAATTAAACGCAAAGTGAAACAACTGTTAATATTGTATTCCCTACGAGTATACATTTTTCCCTAGTACTAGTTTTATTTTCTTTTACTAGAAAACTTCTTGTATATATATATTAAATATTTAAGAAACAAATATATTAATTATTGTTTTTTATTCAATACATCTTTAAAAAATATTGTAGTTTTCATTGAAATAAAATTTAAAATTTGTTAGTAATTTACGATAAAAATAACCAAGTTTATTTTAATCTAGGGAAGAAGCGATTTTCTAGCTCCGTTGCGCAATCTATCGGTGGATGACTCTTAATGACGCCATAGTTTGAGAATCACTGTCATCGGCGTGTAGGGGCGTCGTTGCTGCGTGCAATGTGTATCGTGTAGGCGTTGGCGAGGAGGAGACAAGTCGGGGATGTGTCCGTAAAAAACTTGCGGTTTCTGCGTACTCTGCCGCACGTGCACGCTCGAAATCGTGTTCCGTGAACAATTGAATCTTGACAAAATCATATTACGTGCCCGTATTGGTGGAAATCGTCTCGCGAACGGGCCTAACAATTACGGCCAGGAAAAAAAAGTTCAGCCAGTGCTCCGTATTCTTTCGTTTCTTCCAAAAGCCACGTATCGTGCGTGTGTATCTCATTCTCTTGTCACGAAAGCTTAAGACGCGAACAAATAATTTCAAATCAAACAAAAACAAATCGACGATTCGATTCTAGGGACGAGAAACGACGCCCGTACCAGGATGCCAGGACAGGAGGATCTCCGAAGAGCCATTGAGTTGATCGGTGTTACTCGCGCGAATTAATTTCAACTCGATTCGTAGGAGACGTAGAAGCAAAGTCTCGAAAAACGTACGGATATTAACTCGAGAGAAAGAAAGATAGAGACAGAAACAGAGGAGGAATTCAAGAAGAAAGAATCCGACGGAGAGCTTGTGTACAGGAGATGTTCGGAATCTCGAAACGAAATCCTGGTGCGGGAGGATTCCACTATCAACGGTTACGATCGAACGTATTATCACACGCTGGATTCTTCGGCGTATGAGACAGTCACCGATTGTGAGTCTCTCTCTTGTCTGTGTGGACGCTGCTGACTGTGTACGTGTTTTTCCCGGCGAAGAAATCTCGGCTTGTGACGGCGGCGGCGGTGGTGTCTGCTGGCATGAGATTTTATTGTCGTCTACTCGGCACGTTTTCGTGGAAGTATCAACATCGAATACGCGCAGTGCGGTTCGTGTGATTTTTTTGTGCGTGAATCAGAATAGTGGCCATTCTTTTTCGTGTATTTGTACGAAACTATCGCGCGACCGTCAATGACAAAGGATATAATACACAGTCTCACAGAAGAGATTCTTTTAGTAGGGTGGCTCTCGTCTCGTTTCTCGTTTCACTTCTCGTTTTGCCTCTGAGGCTTTCGATGATACTGAGCATTATCGTCGCACGTTTGTCTGTGCGACTCGAACTACCTACATAATTATATCTTCTTAAAGAAATTAGATATATCTCGAAGCTGATTTACGTGCGTGAAACAAAGTGGTGTGGAAGAAAACGTGTTGTGGACAGAGGGTGGATGACACACACAGGACGCGTATTGGCCGGCCGAGGGAACGAATTTGCGGATTTGTCGCCGGTTTATTACGTCGTGCGACAAAATTTCTTGGAATGTGACGAGGGATTCTTAGCGTGGGAAATATCGTAGAAAAGGTAAGTGATTTGAATATGGTAACCAGTTTTCATATAATTGTCGAATTAACTATACGATACTAGCTATCAAATGGAGCAAGCATTTAATGGAGTCTGTGTATTCTAACCTACAAACATAGTCGCGTAAAAATAGCGTTCATGAAACGTATTTGCAAAGGTACGCGACTGTTTGAGAGATTATTTGTTCAAATAATTCACGCAATGATAAATTAAATTAATATGGTAAATAGCTATAGTAAACGCAACATAATTATTAAAGTTCAGCGCAATATTTTTCCTCTTTATTATTTTGTATTATTTCTCATTTGATTGCACAATTGAATTCGATATCGATATTTACGATATGAGTCGATAACGTTATCGATAAATCCGAGACTAATTCAATGATACATAAGCAGATGTCGATTGCAATATACGAGTACATTACATTATTTGAATCGAAGATGTAATTTTACGAATGATCGATATAACTCGTATCGATCGAGAATCGCAATTATTGACAAACCAATCGATGCGAAAGGAATGGCGTCGTGAACAAGTCTCGCAGTTGTCAGAGTATTGTTTTCGAATTATCAGTTTTTGTTAAAAAAAAAAATCTTTGATCGAGTTGACTGTGGCAAGATTACACTTGTTACCCGGTACAATAGCATTTCTCGAGAATAGACGCAGGCTTTGTTTTTGTTTTGAAGCATACGCGACACTCGATGCCGCGCGTCTACCGCACGCATGCCAACATAATTCAAAGTGGTGTAGCATTCAGTGATGTGACTTATGACCCTTTTGAGAATATACATCGGAGCTAGAAGTTTACACCGATATCATCTAACATTTTTCAGCGCGACAGAAAGGTTTGTGCGATCGAATTTTTTTCTCATACAATGTAATTTGTCAAGGTTATAACATTCGAGAGATTACGAGAAATACGATTAAGTGAGTCACGCGTCGAGTCGAAATATTTTTGGTATACAAATAATAATCGAAATATATTATTTTAGCCAGGTTAGCTATCTTGACATTATTTTCGATATATGTATACACATTTATTTAGACGTATAAAACTGATGTGTAAATTATTCAATTCCGTTCTACGATATATAATCACGCGTACATATATATATACATATATAAATTGTCGATAATTTATGGACGGCTGTCTCTTTCATACAGATAAAAGGAATTCCAGGGGGTCGTTAGATGACGCATACTGGGGCGAGTTATATTGACCCGATAATGTGAAAATACGATTTAATCCTGCATCCCCTGCATGTGGGAATTAATTTCTTAATCGAGAGCAAGCTGGTATGGCGATAATGACGGTTGTAATTGCTTTTTGAATTAAAGATTCATTTCTAACTGAATATAGATTAATAATTGAAACAATAATTGGCATGAAAATGGATAGATCGTTATTATTTCCGCGAATTTACAATTATCGAAATTCCAACCTTCTTCTTCCACATCTCTTCCTCCCCTCTATATAACACTTTCCCGTAATACTTAAGCAGTTCAATGATTTCAATCGTCTAAATTTTTCACGATTAACAATTAATTAATTTCAAATAAGAACCATCTCTTTGACAATTCTAATTGCGCGATATAATATCGTGTAATAATAATATATATAGCGAGATCGAAGATTAAAGCTATTCGTAAGAAACCCCCGTGACGAGGCTTTATGCTACCGCATCTCTGACGAGTCTTGCTCGTCGACACCCCCGTTCCCTTGTTCGTAGACAAGAAGGGGCGAGGTATCCAACTCGCCCTCGAGCCGTCTAATTGCTCGAACGAAAGCGACGAATCCGGATCTTTTTTTTTTATCGTTCGACAATGTATCACGAATTATACATATTTTTTTCGTTCCGAGCGTGCGGGCCGGCCTCCCCTCCCCCCCTCCCCTCCGGATTATTCATTTGGTCACGGTAGCGAAACAGGATAATCTTTCAGCAACCACCGACGATGTCGATAAACCGCAAGCTCGCTTGACTGGAACACCGGCGTTCGGCCGCGACTCGACAGAGCTTGTTACTATTTTCCCTCCCTCCCTCTCCCTCCTCCCCTCCGAATAATGCAACAAGTTGCTTAAACGGACAACAACAAAGTGGTTTCTAATTCTGTACCTTT